TTATTTTTTTTTTATGTTTTAGAGAGGGAGAGAGAGACAGAGAGAGAGAATTTTTTTTTTTTAGTGTTTTTTTTTTAAGGTTTTATTTATTTATTTATTTGAGAGTGAGAGAGAGAGCATGAGCAGCGGCAGGGGAGAGGGAGAAGCAGGCTCTCTCCTGAGCAGGGAGCCCAAGTCAGGGCTTAATCCCAGAACCCTGAGATATGACCTGAGATCATGACCTGAGCCGAAGGCAGATGCTTAACCGACTGAGCCGCCCAGGCGCCCCGAGAGAGAGAGTATCTTAAGCAGTCTCCATGCCTTGTGAAGAGCCAGACATGGGGCTTGATCTCACAACCCTGAGATCATCACCTGAGCCAAAATCGAGAGTTAGATGCTTAACTGACTGAGCCATCCAGGCACCCCTGGAATATCAAATATTTAAATGTTTGACAGTACCCGATATTGGTGAGGATATAGGGAAACAGGTGCTCTTATACCATGTTGGGAGTATAAATCACTATTGAATTTTTGGATCTGAAGTTAAGATGTGCATACAACTTGATCCTGCAATTCTACATCTACACATTTATCCTATTTACTCACACAAATAAATGTGATGTATACATGTATATGTACAAGGATGTTCAAGTTTTTATGTATAGGTATTTTGGGGGGATGAATGCACAGGAGTGTGACTGCTGCTTAATTTCTTAAGAAACTGCTAAACTACTTTCCAGAGTGGCTGTACCATTTTCCATTTCTACTGGCAGATTATGAGTGATCTATTTTCATCACATCCTTTTCCAAATTTAGTATTCTTACTACTTTTTGATCTTAAAAAAATTTTGTGCTCTTTATTTTTCCCACCTTTAAAAAAAAAAATCATCCCAAGTCCATAGTTTATATCAGAGTTCACTCTTTGTGTTGTACACTCTATGGGTTTTGACAAATGCATAATATCTATCCATCATTATAATATTTCTTACTATTTTTAATTTTAGCCATCCTAGTTGGTATGTAGTGATATCTCGTTGGTGGTTTCAATCTGCTTTTCCCTAATGGCTAATAATGTTGAACATCTTTACGTGTGCTTATTTGCCATCCATATATCTGATTTGATGAAATATTTTTCATGTCTGTTGCCCATTTTCTAATTGGATTTTTTTTTTTGTTTAGTTTTGAGAGTTCTTTATGCAATTTAGATACAAATCCTTTGTCAGATATATGGTTTGCAAATATTTTGTCTCAGCTTGTACCTTGCTTTTTTATCCTCTGAACAGGGTCTTTCACAGAGCAAAAGTTTTAATTTTGGTAGAATCTCAATTTCCATTGTTTTCTTTAATGGATCATGCCTTTGGTGTCATCTGTAAGAACTCTTTCCCTAGCTCTACTTCCCTGTATTAGTTTCCTAGGGGTGCCATAACAAATCACCACAAACTTGGTGACTTAAGGAAGAGAAAATTATTTTCACCTCCTACCAAGGCAGAAAATTCACGAATTATTTTTTTGTATGCCATTTCCTGTCATCTCTCTCACATATTCTTAAGTTTTGCCCCCTTTTTCGGCTATTAGCTTTGTTTCCTTGGGTGGTAAATTCTTCTATTTGTTGAAGTTGTGGCCTGTGTCAGATTATGTCTGTTGGTACTTAGCCCTGTATCCACTTTTAAATAAGCCCCTTTATTCCTGAAGCTGTGGGTCTGAAATGACAGATCCTAGACTCCCTTGCTGGATGGGCTCCAGTGAGATTCTGCAGAGGGGAGACAGTTGTGTAAGATCGAAAGGGGTAGTGCTCGATTCGGCAGCACATATACTAAAATTGGAACGATACAGAGAAGATTAGCATGGTTCCTGCACAAGGATGACAGGCAAATTCGTGAAGTGTTCCATATTTAAAAAAAAAAAAAAAAGATTGAAAGGGGTAAAGGGAGAAGCTACTGTGTTTCTGGCCATGTCCCTGGCGGTGTCAGCGGCCCTGGCTGCTCTTTGGTACAGTTGTGGAACCTCTAGCAGGGACAGACACCGAGTGTAGGCTTACAGGCTATGGCCCAGTGACAGAGGCCTTTTCCTGATCTCTGGGCAACACCATCTCCTTTCCTTTGCTTCGCCAGCATTTCCAAAATTATTGTGGGGAATTCTTTGACTCAAACAGTATTAGATAGCAGGGGTGGTCCCGGGACAGAGGTTCTCAAAGATATGAATCTAGGATTGCTTATCGGAACTGGGCTCCTCGCCAATGGAAGTGCATTACTAGTAGTCCAAAGCATGAATGGCAAAACGGATACTTAAATTAGTATTTGAGGTTGCCTTGGATGAAGTGCAATTCTAGCCAACTCTTTTTCCTTTTATAGCCAAGAGGTTTTCATTTTTTTTTTTTTTTTTTTTTAAGATTTTATTTATTTGGCAGAGAGAGACACAGCGAGAGAGGGAACACAAGCAGGGGGAGTGGGAGAGGGAGAGGCAGGCTTCCAGCCGAGCAGGGAGCCCGATGCGGGGCTCGATCCCAGGACCCTGGGATCATGACCTGAGCCGAAGGCAGACGCCCAACGACTGAGCCACCCAGGCACCCTGAGGTTTTCCTTTCTGGCCATTTGTAGGGATTTGGGGATGGAGCAGAAGCCTGCAGGGTGTGCTTGCTCTGCCGTCTTGCTCCAATATTCTGGATTATTTTTCAAAATCTAGTGATTATGCTACATTATTTCAATTAAGATTATGTTTTAAGAATCACAACTAAGCAAAAAACATATGGCGATATTTAGCCACACTTATGGGAAACTTAGTCATGTGGTCTGCTGTTTTAATATCCTGATTCACCAGCTGACAGGGGATTGAACTGCGGCCTTCATACCCTGGAGGAAATGATCACATTTATTTGATTATTTCACTCTAGGTAGTAACAGTTCTGTCCTGGGAAAAAAGACGAGCCTCAAGGCACTCCTGGCTGAATGCTTTTCAGTTACAGTCTCTAAGCCCGTATGCCAAGGAATTGCCTCTTTCCACACAGCGACCTTTGTGGCAGATGGCAGATTTCCCCGAGGTCTCAAAATGACAGGCTTTCACAATGTCACTGGCTGACAACCAGACCCAGCCCAGTCTTGGTGTGTTTTGGGGGCTAAAGTCATTCCACCTTGTGCAACAGTTAAAGCTTACTGTAACCAGCGGCGTTCCCCTAAAGTCAGGAGAAAATACTTTTTTTTTATTTGCCAACCACAAAGCTACGCTGGAGTGCATATGTGAATCCTAGGGTCTCCCAGTCCATCAGGAGAAGTAAGAGACATGAGGTATTAGAAAGCATCCTAGTTTTGTAGTCAGATCTGGGTTCAAATCTTAGATCTGTACCGTGGACAAGTCACTTAACCTCACTGAACTCCAGATGTTTTATTTGTAAAATACAAGACAGCCATAGCTAAAAAACATTTTTTATTGCCCTACTTGTACCAGATCATATTCTAGGGGCCAGAGGATACAACACAGAACAGGCAAAGCGCCTGTTCTCATGAAGTCCCCATCGTAGTAAGGAGAGACCAATAGTAACACAAACCAAAAGTAAATAAGAAAATGCCACAATAAAAACAAAACAGTGATGTAAGCTGATTGAGAGTAGCTGTAGTTTCTCTGTGTTTTCTCTTTGGTCCGACCTACCTGGTAAATTGTATTAAACCTTGTTTTCCCTGGCCCCTTATCTAAGCCAGTGGGCCCTTGGAAAGGGATTCATGACTCCAATCTCAAAGGCCTAACGTGACTTCTCCAGAAAATGTGCATATTATCCGAAGGCCAAGGCCTTATATCAGACTTGTACTTTACTTTGCTGTGGACTTTTAGGCTCTGTGTGGCCAGCAAAGGTGGTATTTGAGGGCAGGCACACACTTGCCCAGCCTCTGTCTGAGAACATTTTGTTTCTGAACTTCTTATAGAAGCTGTTGTTGGGATCTTGAGCCCTTGCTGGGGTCATGATTTAATGCCTCAGCATTTGTGGCTTGCGGGAACTAGCTCTGATCTTGAGTTTCAAAAACAAAACATGGGTTTGCCAAGAAAGAGTACAAGGTGATGAAAGTTGCCATTTCAAGCCTAAGCCTTCTAGGAACACCTACATCGGTGGCAGCAGCTGGTCCTCCAGGTTGCTCCCAGCCCAGAGCTGGGTTCCCCAATAGGTAGAGTAGGCAATATGCTTAAGGGTCTGGCAAAATGAGGGCTCACATACCCACCAAAAGTTGGTTTTTAAAGCCTTATTTGGAATTTTAGAATCAGAAAATCTTGAGAGATGGTATTCTAATATCACATTTTGCGGAAGTTTTCTATTATGTCGAATTTGAATTACATAGTGTTGGGAGCTCCATAACTTTTTGGAATGCAGGGCCTCTAAAGGTCTTACTCTGGCTCTGCCCCATGCCACCCCAGGAGCTTCCTTTTGCCTCAGTTCTCAGAATTAACACACAAAGTCTTCCTCACATTTGGGGTCCAGGCCAGAGAGTGGAGGATGTGTTCTATTTCTTGTTTTATTGCTGCCCCTCTGACTAGTCCCCCTTCTGAAGTGCTCTGTCTGAACCACACAATCTTACACTTGGTCATACACAGGGAGCAGGAGCGTGGTGGTAGTGGTGGTGATCGGTGTCACTGACTTATTAAGGCAAATCTATGGGGAAAGGGAGGGTATCCTGGACCACTGGACAATTCATTTTATAGGAGCAAGCTTCTCCCTCAGATGCAGAGATGGCTTGTTTCCCTTTTTCTGGGCTTCACCCTTGCCCCATCTTCTCTTGTGGTTGTAGGAAGCAAACATAAGAGCCAAGAGAATGTGAGTGCTGTGACTGAGGATCCACTTGGCTTCCCAAGCCCAAGCGGGGTTACAGCAGGTTCCCCAGAGTGGAGACCTGAAGCAGTTGCCAGGGGCAAGGTGCCCACCCACTGGCCTCTGGCCCTCACAGGGTTAGCCAATGAGAAGGGACATCTGTGGGGTGGGGACTGCCTGCCCCCTTGAGTACCAGGCTACTGAGGCTGGATCACCTCATTTCCATCCTGACTGCAGTTTGTGGGTCTGATTCTACACCTGAGGGTAAGAACAAGTCAATTACAGTTCCAGGCTGGGGGTGGGGGTGGCTGCCTTGCAACGGAACCTCTGGCTTGGGTTTGCCCAGGCTCTCTTGTCATAGCAGGGTACAGATGGGTACAGGCAAAACTCTGGCCAGGGCAATACTGGGGGAGGCAGACAGGCCTTGGGCTTCTTCCTTGATTCTCCCACAGCTCAAAGAGAAAAGGAGCTGTTCCTCTGATCAAAATGCCTGAGGCCATCTTGAATTTTGACCAACTCACTCTGTGGCAAGATGCCTACCCAGAGAAAAGGTTGGGATCAATGATAAGAGAGGGATGGCCCAGTGATAGAGTTCAATTAAATAAGAAGAGAAGGAAATAATTCACTTCTCAGCTTGACCAGGTAGGCAAAGAAAGAAGCAGATGGAAAGGCAGCTTCGGGAAAGCCTGAGCTCTGACCTCGGGCTGAGTCTGGAACCCAGCTCCACCAGTTGATTCTTCTCAGCAAATATTGATTGAGCAGATTCTATAAGGCCAGACACTGGGTAGAGTTAGCGAGACACAAAGGTGAGTGAGACATAATCGTTGTCTGGATTTGAGGGAATCTGTAAATACGGGTATATCTACACAGATGTGGGGGTATGTCACAGGATGATTGAGACATTCAAATGAGATAGAGTGAGCTTGGGATATACTGAAAACTTAGGGAAATCTTATTTTTAGAGGACATTTTCTGACAGAAACCAGTGGGTTTGCCTGGCCTTTGCCAAGCCCAATCCTGTTCACACCAGGGAGTGCTGCACCTGAGGCATCTGGCTGTTTTCAGTGTAGAGGCAGAGGTCAGAGCGGGAAGGATTTTAGAGATCAGTCCAGCCCTCCTGTGTCAGTGGGTGTGGGTTCCTGGTCTGGAGAGGTTCTGGTTTTCAGATCAAGCTTCATAGGGGATGCAGCTACCTCACTCCTGGTGACTCCCTCCATTAGCGGTAAGGTGGGTTCCTCCGGATAAGGTGGGGAAGCAGTGGAGCCCTTTATGCTGGTAGAATATGCCCAAAGGAGCATGAGGGTGTCAGCTTTGTTCTTGAAGCAGAGAAGTAGAAGCAGCTTAACTGGTAGTCCTTGCTGCCTCCCTCCCTTAGTTCTTGAAGAGTTGTAAAGAGAGATACAGGACTTGCTTCTTGTCCTTTCTAAGGTGGTTGCGGGGAAAATTTCCACGGACTCCTTGTTAAGACAGGAGATTAGGGGTCCCACTTGGCTGACGTCAGGAGGTAGTAGCTTTGGAGAGTAGAAGTTTTCAATCAGGAATTTTTTCACATGAAGAGAGACTGATCCCAAAAATGTGGATTGGAGGAATGTTCTGCTTTACTAGTTCCTTGAGAATCTATGCAGGTGTGTGTATGTGCGTGCATGTGTGTGTGTGTGTGTGTGTGTGTGTGTGTTGGCGTGGGGATGCTGACAGCTCTCCTAGGATTGAGTGAAGGTTTTCAGGTAATCCTGGGAGCCAGACAAAATTGAGTTGATTCCTGATTCTGTCATTCATCATTAGGTTGTACCATGTGAAATTGCTAATATTCTACCATTTTTAACCTTTAAAAATGGCAATTTCATAAAACCCACAAGAGGGGCATGATCTTTCTTTTTTTTTCCCTTCCCAGCTGCTCAGCACTTCTACTGACAGTTGCATGATCTTAAGCCAGCATCTTGGTCTCTTCAAGTCTTAGATTCTTCTCTATAGTGGAATCAAGAGCAGGGCTATGGGGGAGGTTACATGAAATAACATTTGAAAGTACCTTATGCAATTTCTACTCCAATGTACCCTACCCAATTTCAAAGTGTTCTCATGTCCCTCATCTTATGTGATCATATTTAGCAGATTAGGAAGTTGACTATGAGAAGGCTTTTTAGAGGTGGTGTAACGTGATCCAAGCTCACTGGTTTGGAAGTCAGAACAGCAATGCCTCAGGGGTCATGTCCTTAATCTCTCCCTTTCCCCATCTCTAAAGTTGGGATTATTTTCCTTGCTTCATGGAGTTCTCATAAAGATTAAAATAAATAATGGATAAAATAAATAATGGGTAAAATGTCCTAGCGTGGGAGCTGGCCTCTATGAGGATCTAATAAATGCACCCTTTTCCTTCTCCTTAACCTTCCCTTTGTAAAAGCAGGGCAGGGGTGAGATGATTTCGGGGGTCCATTCTGGCTCTCAGGGACTTAGTGATCTGTGCTTTAGTGCCCTCTCCTGCTGGAAGAGTTGGCATTAGATTTGGTGACTTTCCCCCGCCTAATGCTCTGTTTCCTACCAGTCCCAAAGGAGACCTCATCCTGCATTTCACAAGATTCTGCTGTTGTTACTGAAATTCCAGCAGGTCAAAGTGGAATTTCTTATATATTTTAACATATGAAAATGAGAGATCATAATACGGCCCTTTAGGATCCAGAGAACATGGTGGCCATCCCCTCATAGTTAGTGAATAGTGCCTATATACAGTGTGCAGTAGAAAGAACTTGGGCTTTGGATTTTAAATTACACCCCTGCACTCTTTTCCTTGTTATGCATGGGCAGAAGTGACTAATCCTCTCTGGTCCTGGGATTTCTCTTGCAGGAGTTGAGTTGTAGGGGTGAAATGAGATGAAAGGGTAAGTGAATGTACAGTGGAGGTCTGTAGCAGATGGTCCATAAATATTTGCTAGTTTCCCTTCTCTTCACTGATATATACGGAAGTTTATAAAATAGTTCATACTTTTAGCCAATCGATTCTCACAATAAGATTGTGAAATAGGCTAGGTAAGGATTAATAGCATTAATAATCACATTTGCAGGCAAAGAGCAGGAGATCTGGGAAATGAGGTGGAGGAACGTAAGTCACCCAGCATGTTCATGGTGGAGCCTAGACTAGAAGCCAGGGCACCTGCATCATAATCTGGAGGGCTTCTCAAGCTATTTTCTCTTATGTCCCCCATCCCATGCAGTGTAATATGAAAAGGCAGATGTGATCCTGATGCTTTTTTTTCCTCCTCTGAACTATGCCTAAGAGTCCATTTTTGGGCTTTGGAAGACCAGAATTTTATTGTCCAGCTCCCCTACATTTAAAAGCTCTAGGATTGGGCACCTGGGTGGCTCCATCCGTTAAGCGTCTGCCTTCGGCTTAGGTCATGATCCCAGGGTCCTGGGATTGAGTCCCTAGTCCGGCTTCCAGCTCAGCGGGGAGTCTGCTTCTCCCTCTGCCCCTCCCCCTGCTCATTCTCTCTCTCTCTCTCTCTATCCCTTGCAAAAATAAATAAATAAAAATCTTAAAAAAAAAAAAAAGCTCTAGGATCTCGGACAAGTCACACAACTTTCCTGAAATTCACTTTCCTCCTCTCTAAAGTGGATACAGTCAGAGCTAACATTTATTAAGCACTGACATGTGCCATGCACTGTTCTAAGTATTTTATATGGATTGTGTCACTTAATCCTCCAACAAATATATGACTGACGCATGTTACAGGTAAGAACAAATTATTCTCACCCAAGCACTAAGATCATAGAGCGCGTGATCCTGTTCTACTTCACACTGTCTCTCAAAATGGTTGTGAGGATTAAATGAAACATTAAGTGAGGTAAGGACTTTACAAACGGGTTCGGCAAAAACAGAATTATGGGTGGAACTTGGGATTTAGCTTCATGATCCATGTAAAAGTTTTCTTTATAGGCACCATTGAGTCTTCGATTACAGTTTCATTTAATAATGTTTTCCCCTGTAGAAATAGAAGTCTTTCCAAATCAAAGTGTAACAATTGCCCTCTCTAAACAAAGAGCACAAATAATTTTGGAATACTTTTTTTTTTTTTAAAGTGGCACCTCTGCACTGACCTTCAGCTGTTATCCATTGCTGATCTTTCCACCCCAAAGTAGGTAGAAGACAACTTTCTTCTGCAATCAGAATCTGTTCTTAGCATCAGAAACTTCCAAGGATCATGTACCCATCTTCTCCCCACCCCTCATCTCAGTATGTCCACCCCATGCCACTGTCATGGAACCCAGACTCATTGTCCCTGTCAGGGGAGAAATCCATCCATAATACTGAAGTGTTGAGGACAGATGCCTTCCCTTGGGCTAGGAGAAGAGAATCTTGACTTTTAAAAGAGGAGGAGGAACCATAGAACTCCAGAGACCTTCTGACTTCACACTGTCCCCAACAGTTTGGAGAAAGCCCCCAATCTTCTTCTCTCTTTGGGTCCCTCTGTAGTTGCCCCCACCAATTCTCATGTTCTGGACTCTCTCTTCCTATCTCCCTGTGGAAAAGAGCACAGCCTCATAGATTCTGCCCTCCTCATTTTGGGAGAAAGCAAGCACACAACCTCTCAGAGGTCTTCTCAGGACTTGTAAAGCTAACCCTAGAAGGAGAAAGGAGGAAGGTGACAAACACTGAAAAACTTTGAATACATATGAAGTCTGAAAAGCTCCAGAGCAAGTATTCTTCCTAAATACGAAAAGGGTTTGGCTGGTCTCTCCTCCTTGGCTTCTAATCTAACTCATCTCTTTCTTCTTATTTTGGAACAAGCCAAGCCCTACGTTGTGTCTCATTTCCAGCCCCTGTTGACTTCACCCTCCTGAGCCATTGAAGTCCAGTAGAGGGCGACAAAGATACACCTAGATGGTAGGAGGAGTCTTGGCTAGAAACTCACCACCACCAAGGGGCGGTATCTGTTGCTCTATGGCCTGTCTCTCTGCCCCTCCTTCTATCAGTCTAGCTCATTCTCAATTCTCACTTTACTTAGATCATATTTTTTTTTTAAAGATCTTATTTATTTATCTGACACAGAGAGACAGAGCGAGAGAGGGAACACAAGCAGGGGGAGTGGGAGAGGGAGAAGCAGGCCTCCCGCGGAGCAGGGAGCCCGATGCGGGGCGATCCCAGGATCCTGGGATCATGACCTGAGCCGAAGGCAGACGCTTAACGACTGAGCCACCCAGGCGCCCCTTACTTAGATCATATTAAAACTTCGTATTTACTAGGGCGCCTGGGTGGCTCAGTTGGTTAAGCGACTGCCTTCGGCTCAGGTCATGATCGCAGGGTCCCGGGATCGAGTCCCACATCGGGCTACCTGCTCGGCGGGGAGCCTGCTTCTCCCTCTCCCACTCCCCCTGCTTGTGTTCCCTCTTTTGCTGTCTCTCTCTGTCAAATAAATGAATAAAATCTTTTTTTTAAAAAAAAAAAGAACCTTAAAAATGTTCATACATTTGGCCCAGTGATTTTACTTCTGGGAATATGTCATTACAGAATATAAGTTGGGAAGCTATATGACCAAGGATATTAGCTATGGATTTTTTAAAAAAGATTTTACTTTTATTTATTTTGACAGAGAGAGAGAGAGAACACAAGAAGGGGGAGTGGCAGGCAGAGGGAGAAGCAGGCTTCCCGTGGAGCAGGGGGCCCGATGCGGGGCTCTATCCCAGAACCCTGGGATCATGACCTGAGCCGAAGGCAGATGCTTAACCGATTGAGCCACCTAGGCATCCCTTAGTTATGGATTTTAAAATAATACTTTAAAGTGGAAGAAAGCTAAAATTTCAACAAAATAGAAATGGTTAAGTATATTTTGACTATTCCACTTGATGAACTAGCACACACACATTTAAAATACTGATTATGAGAACTAGAAAGTGACAAGGCAAAAACAGGGGAATAAAATTTCTATGCCAAGTGTGTTTTTCATTAGGTTTAAAAATAAGCAGAGAAAGCCTTGAGACTGGGGATCCTTTTGTTTTCTATAGTTTCCAAAGTGTTTATGTTACTAATTTTATTGAATACATGTGTGTGTTTGTGTGTGTATCTATATCTACATCTATCTATCTATCTATATATGTATATATGAAAGATGAACATATATGAATGAATGAATGAATGAATGAGTTGGTTGCGTCCCATTGAGAGGGCACTATAGAGCCCAGGTGATGGGGCATAGAGGTGAGATTCTAGACACCGTGCACATTTTGGGGGTAAAATTGCCAATCAGAGGCTTTCCTGCATCCCTCACAGAGGAGCTGTCTCCTGAAGCCAAACCCAATTCTAGAGACTTTGCATAACTCTTGAGAGACAAGCAGACTGATGAAAAATAGTGAGTCTTTGGAGTAAAAAAAATGCACATGGACCGTGTTTAACTCAGAGTCAGGTTCATGGGATTAAGCACCTTTTAAAGCCCACAGAAGGTTTTAGTGATGCCTGTGATCCAGGATCCTAGGACCTATTCCCCTTGCTGTGGCGTTTTCTCTCAACTCCCTGGTGAGAGAGGGTTGAGGAGACTAAGATTCTGGCAATAAAGAGGTGGGGGACTAAGATCACCCTAATATCAAAGGCAGAAGCTGGGAGGGGACCAGTATATATATAAAGAACCATCTATATAAAGAACCAGGGGGATCAGGAGGAACAGTTCTGAGACAGAATGTCCCCGCCCACCTGTGCCACTTGAGCTTTTTGCTGGGGCTCCCAGAATACATATTTCCAATATCCGCCCCTCTCCAGCCTTCTTTCCCTCTTCCTCTCTCCTTTTCTTCCTCCCTCCCTCCTTCCCTCCTCTCTCTGGCCCTCTTGCTCTTTCTTTTCTCCCTTAGAAAGTATTTATTTAGTCCCTACTCTGTGCTGGTAGTATGTTAGGCTTTGCCCCCTGGTACTTGTAGTTTAAGGGGGGAAATGAATGAGCAAATCAGGAATTACAGGATAGTGCAGGAAGTGCAACGCTGGAGGTAAGCGAGGGCACTGGGGGTGTGCAGAGGAGGAACCAAGAACTCAGATTGGAGAGGGAGGACTTGCTGAGAGAAGACAACCCAACTCGGTCCTGAAGGCTGTGGAGGGGTCAGGCAGGTGAGGAGGTGCAGTGAAGGGTAGCCCAGGCAAAGGGTCAGCAGTCCCGCTGTCCCGCTGTCCAGCAGTCCTCATCCTGATGAGAGAATGTGTCTCTGGTTGTCTGATTAACGCAGGGAGAGGCTGTGTGCATGTGGTGTACATTGTGCAAGTGTGTGTATATGTGTGTGCATTCATGTGTATGCATGCGTGTGTGTGTACGTGTGTGTGCGTGCATGTGTAATAGACCAAATGGTCTAACATGTGATCCAAGAGATGGGGAGAGGAAGAAAGAGAATGAGAGAGAGAGAGAGGAGGAATAAACAAAGAAATGAGGGAGGGAAGTAGAGAAGAAACAGGAAGGAGCCAGAGAGAGAGAGAGAAGTTGGTTAGAGTTGAAGGGGATGATGTGAGTCGTCATCCTTGGAAAACTCAAGGGAGAGATTCTTGACAGATGGACTCTCGGTATTTGGTCCAAGGAGCCTGGTCCTGTGCTCAGATATGAGGCAATTGGAAGAGTGTTGTCCTGCCCTCACCGAACTCACAATCTTTGAGGAAAGGAGATTACACACAAAGAATAATGCTAAGTATTGCAAATTTCAGGGCAGAAAGAGATCAAGGTGGGTGGAAATAGACAAGTCTTCTGGAAGAGGTGAGTGTCGAGAGAGCAGATCTCAGAAGGGGACGCTGCGGAGGTGGCCCGAGTCCTGCATAGGTCAGGATGGAGTGTGTTGCGTGGTGTGTGCTTGCGTGGCTGACAATGTGGATCTGGGTTCCAGGGCTCAGGATGCTGTTGCTACGAGCTGTTCTACTGCTACTAGTCCTGCCCACTCACGGCCAGGACTCCGTGACAGAAGGGCCTGGAGTTCTGCTTCCTCTGGCCAAGGGGGCCTGCACAGTTTGGTTGGCAGGCATCCCAGGGCATCCTGGCCACAATGGGACCCCAGGCCGTGATGGCAGAGATGGCACCCCTGGCGAAAAGGGTGAGAAAGGAGATCCAGGTAAGAACAAGGTTTTTGGCTTCCTCCATCGTAGACTTCTCCTGGGTAGAGGAGAGCTTCTGGAACTATCCAAAGGCATTAGCTATTGACAAAGGCTGAGACAAAGGGAGGAAGCAATTTTTTTTTTTTTTTTTTTTTCTGTGACCCATAAGCAACCTAAAGTGAATTTTGGGTTGGCCTTCTGGTCATGAGAATAGATCGTACCTGTAAAACCAGTACCCTCGACTCTGCTCTATTGACATCACGGTCCCTGTACCCTTTCCCATCCCCGCCTCATCCGTCACTCTTCCCAATCTCTTCACATTCTTGTTTCCCTTCATTTCCACTTAACTCCCATTCTGCCCAGTGGCGTTTACACTCAACGCACCCTCGTAGCTCACAGTCCTGCTCCTGGGGAACTCTTGGTGTAGGTAAGAAGATAAGTCTAAAACACAAAGCTGTTAAGGATTACTATGAAAAAGTCGACTCCAAATATGCTTAACTGAATGTGGACAAATGCCCAACGTACGGAACAGAGAGAAAATGCTCTCGTTGAAGATCTGGATTAGCAATGAAGGCTTTAAGGAGGAGGCAGGGCTTGAGTCAGGCCTTGGAGTATAGGTAGACAGAATAAAGGAGGGAGGGCATTCTGGACAGAGGGGATAGAACAGCAAAAGTTAGGTTGGTTGAGTCGGCATTTAAAGGGTTGGCAGGGTGGAGGGTCTATGATGGAGACCTTTAGGAAATAAGGTTGGAGATGAATTTATGGAAGCCCGCTGGGAGATGGAGCAGGAGAAGGTATAACTCACCTTTTTGGGAGCTCCCTATGGTTCCTTGCTCCGTAAGTCAGGCAGGTTGTGGGTAAGGGCCATAGGGACAGTGTTTTAGGTTAGAACTAACCTAGGCAGTAGTTCTGTTCCTTATGGTCACTGAGGTCTTGTCATTCTCTAGGTCTTGTTGGTCCTAAGGGTGACACTGGTGAAACTGGAGTAACTGGGGTTGAAGGTCCCCGAGGCTTTCCAGGAATCCCGGGCAGGAAAGGAGAACCTGGAGAAAGTGCCTATGTACACCGGTCAGCATTCAGTGTGGGATTGGAAAGCCGGGTCACTGTCCCCAATATTCCCATTCGCTTTACCAAAATCTTCTACAATCTGCAAAACCACTATGATGGCACCACTGGAAAATTCCACTGCAACATTCCTGGGCTGTACTACTTCTCCTACCACATTACAGTCTACTTGAAGGATGTCAAGGTCAGCCTCTACAAGAAGGACAAAGCTATGCTCTTCACCTATGACCAGTACCAGGAGAAGAATGTGGACCAGGCCTCTGGCTCTGTGCTCCTCCATCTGGAAGTGGGCGACCAAGTCTGGCTCCAGGTGTATGGGGATGGGAACTCTTATGGGCTCTATGCAGATAATGTCCATGACTCTACCTTTACAGGCTTCCTTCTCTACCATGATACCAACTGATCACAACTAACTTAGAGCCTCCTCCAGGCCAAACAACCCAAAAGTGAAAGAACAGTCCATGGGTTTTCAGTTAAGAGATTAGTTTTGTTATCCAGTTGGAGGGCTCTGAACATTATTCATTCATTTACTCATTCATTCATCAAGTACCTTTTCAAAAAAATCATATACTATATTCCCTGTCCTAAAGAAGACATGGTCCCTGGTCTCAAGAGTCTGTTATGTAGTAGCAATGAAAGGTTAATAATATTTCTGGGGGTGCTTCACATATATGGTGAGATATCGAACTACCAGAAAGTATTTGACAGTGCTATTCTGTGTCCACCTTTTTTACTTATGTTCATGCCAATCCTGGGAGGTACACAGGAAAGATATTATTCTCTTCATTTTATGCTTGGGTCCTGAGCCTGAGAGAGTTAAATGAATGCCTAAGCTCACACAGGTATTAAGTGGCAGAGTTCGAAGGCAAACCCAGGTCTGTAGACCTTCTCCCCTAGGCCCTGCCCTTTTTTTTAGGAGTACATGGCCTTTTGGAAGTGTTGGTAGGGGGTCTATCACCCAGCTCACCTGAGGGCCTCTGAGTGGTCTTCATGGTAAGTTAAGCCTTTCCCCCGTAGAGGTCCCTCAGAGGTGATTCTATGACTGGGTCCCATCCCCACTGGACCACTAATTACTCTGTACTTCTGCTTCTCTGTCTTTCTTCATGCTCTTCTCTCCAGCTCAGAAAGCTACCTTCACCTACCTTCATGGTGAAATCCTCCCTGTTCCTCAAAACCACCTAGTCAGGAAGCGTCTCTGATGTGAGAGCTCTCTCCTGCAAACCTTCCTCACACACTCTGCCCCTGTGCCCCTCTATGTATTAGTCTGGATTAGAATCCTGGGTATGAAAGACATCCTTCTCCCAGGCCAGGGACAACTGCCTGGAAAGGACTGTGCTTCCTTCACCTCTGAGTCCCTTTGCAGGTCCTTGATAAATGCCTCATGAAGACCAATCTCTTGAATCTCATCTCTGACCAGGATTAACTCCAGTTCAGTCTCTTCATATAACTAATCCTTATCTACAGAAACATTTTCATTTTAGGAACTCTCTGAATTTAAGCACCTAATCCTTGTTCCACTGGATAATTTGAATCTTTTCCACTGAGGTTTGGGATGACTGTTTTTTCCAGGATACTTAAAGAATTTTCCCTGAAGGAGGTAGCTTGAGCCTGCTATGCAAAACCCACAGAGGAATTTGGAAACCATTCTTTCCTTGAGTACCAACAGGGTCCGGAAAGACCTGGGCCTTCTGAATCTATTCTTGTTTTTTAAGAATTAAAAGAAGGAGAAGGAGAAGGAGAAGAGAAATACTAACTGAGGTGATGGATATGTGAACTAGCTTGATTGCGGTGATTATTTCACCATGTTTATCTACAGCAAACCAGTACATTGTACAACTAAATATATACAATTTTTAGTTGTCAAACATTTCTAACAAAAAATAAAGAAGTATAGGCGGTTGATGGTGGTAAATATCCTCCCAGGAGACAATAGCTTGAGTAATCCTTTTCAAAGTTTTTAGCAAAAGCGGAGTTAATAACATTCTGTATAAACAGAAATGGGAAACTTTTTTCTTTTGCTCTCAGTTTTAAATTCTGAATTATTCCCTTTTGTGTCTTGCTCGTCATTAAGTGATTATTATTTCTACATACCAAACTTCATCTTTTACAGTGTTTGCACATCATCATTTTCTACAAGTAAAGATATTGTTCAGCATTAAAAGTAGAAGCACTTGAATCACATGCCTTTTGTTTTCATTTTTTAGAGAAAGACATGGGGTTTAGAGAGGGTTGAAGGGATAAACTGCGTGTTGGGACTCTATGTTATGAATGACAGAAAACCCAACTCTCACTTGAGAGGAAAAAAAAAAAAAAAAGAATTCCCTTGCATGATGGAAACTACCAGAGCAGCTGTTCTGTCATTAGGGAAGGCTTGAACCAGAGGCTCAAGGGATATCAAAGACCTTTTTTCTATCTGTCGTTCCAGCAGTGTAGGCTTAACACTCAGGCTCTATACAGTATACTGCTAGGCTTTTCATCACAATATCAAATAGACTGACTGGCAGCCTGCCAGCTCTCGTATCCTCCCACCACATCATCTGGCTAAAGGGACATCCTTTTTTCTGGTGTTGCCCATGGAGGAGAGCGGAAGTTCTCTTTTCCAGAAGCCCCATCAAGTATATCCTTGCATCTCATTGGCTCTCACTAGGTTGTATGCCCATCTTTGACCAATTACTTCAGTCAGGAGGATGGACTATACTTATTGACTAAAGTCGATTATTGCTCAAACTGGAGAAAGGATATTTTCTCTAACGCAAAACACAGTTACCAGAAGTGGGAGAGTGGATGACGCATGTGAAAACACCTGTCCACCATGAACTCTTAGTGTTATGTTTGAGTTTTCTTAGGTTTCTCAGAAAGATATTGCTGAAGATCACTGTTGGTTTTCTCTAAAATTTCAACAAGTAGTGGACATCTGGTCGTGCTCGCAGCCCACATGTGGGTAGGGTAAGATCTTCACGGCACTGGACTAGACCTGGGGTCACTCTCACTTTAAGCTCTCTGGAGCAGGGCCAATTCTTTGTGGAAACAGAGAGAGCCAATCTGCACAGCCCCTCCTGAGAGGAACTGTGGCCAAGATTTTAGGATTAAGGGTCCTATGATATCTTCATGGTCCCATCATATCTTCAAATGTAATTATGCATTTCTTTATTTCTCTCCAGTTCTGCCAGCTTTTGCTTCCTGTATTTTGGAGTTCTCCTGTTAAGTGCATTCTCATTTAATATTATGTCTTCTCAGTGAGTTTATTCTTTTATCATTATATAATGTCTTTCTTTACCTCCAGTGATTTGCCCTATTCTGAAGTCTACTTTGTCTGAAAGTAATACAGGCACTCCAGCTTTCTTTTGATTACTGTTTGCATGGTATATCTTTTCCCATCGTGTTGCTTTATCTCTAACTATACAGTTGACTCTTGAACAATGTGGGGTTTCGGGGCACCAACCATCCACACAGTCAAAAATCTGTGTATAACTTTTGACTCTCCAAAAACTTGTCTACCGTAGACCAAACACCTTAATGACAACATAGTCAACTAACACGTACTTGTATATGTATCATATGCTATTTTATTCTCTTTCCTAACTTTTTTATTACCTGAATATTTCATAGTATTTTATCTTAATTTATTTATTGAATTTTTGGCTATGTCTTGGTATTTTTTAGTAGTTGCTCCAGGAATTACAATGTGTATACCTAACTTTTCACGGTATACTTAGAATTAACATTTTACCACTTCAAATAAGATACACATGCCTTATAATCAAATAGCGTTCTGTGTCCTGATCCCTTTATGTTGTGGTTGGTGTGTATATTACATCTATATCCATTGAAACATTACAGACAATGTTATAATTTTTGCTTTCAACAGTCCTCCATACTTTGAAGAATTTAAGAGGCCCCAAATACCCTATTTATCTAGATATTCATCATTTCTTTTGTTCTTTCTTCATTCCTAAAGTTCTTTTTCCCTCTGGTATAATTACCCCTCAACCCAAAAAACTTCCTTTGCCATTTCTCTTAGAGCCATTTCTTTTCTGCAAGTGATGAATTCTCTTAGTTTTCCCTTATCTGAGAATACCTTTATTCTGCCTACATTCTTGAAGGATATTTTTGCTGGCTATAGAATTCTGAGTTGATAGTTCTTTCCTTCCAGCACTTTTTATTTTTAAGTAATCTCCACACCCAATGTGGAGCTTGAACCTCAAGATCAAGAGTTGCGTGTTCTACCAACTGAGCCAGCCATGCACCCTTCCAGCACTTTTTATGATTATTTATTTATTAATTTTTCTTCTAGCACTTTAAAGATATTCTCTCATGGTCTTCAAGACACCGAGGTTTCTGATAAGAAGTAGTAATAGCTTCCCTTATGTGTAATTTATCATCTTTTGCTTCCAGGTGCTTTTAATATGTTTTCTTTACCTTTGGTTTTCAACAGTTTGATTATGATATATCTGGGTATGGTTTTTTTTTTTTTTTTTACCTTAACCTGATGGGATTCATTGAGCTTCTTGAAACTGTAAATAGATACCTTTCACCAAATATGGAATGTTTTCTGCCATTATTTCTTCAAATACATATTCTGACTCAATCTTTCTCTTTTTCTGAGATGCCAATGACATGAATGTTAGATTGACAAGCACCTAAGGATACATTAATTTTTTTCAATCTTTTTCTCTCTGTTCTTATTGTATAATTTCTCTCCCTCTCTCTTTCTTTTTTAAAGATTTTATTTATTTGACAGAGAGAGAAAGAGAAAGAGAGGAAGCAGGGAGAGCGGCAGAGGGAGAGGGAGAAGCAGGCTCCCCACCAAACAGGGAGCCTGATGTGGGGCTCGATCCCAGGACCCTGGGATCATGACCTGAGCCAAAGGCAGAGGCTTAACCAACTGAGCCACCCAGGTGCCCCTGTATGATTTCTCTTGACCTATCTTCAGGTTTTCTTTCCTCTGTCATCTCCATTCTGCTATTGAGCACATCTGGAAGAACTGTGAATTTCAGATATTGTAACTTCTAGTTTAAAATTTTCCATTTAGCTTAAAAAATTGTTTTTCTTTCTCTGCTAAGAACTTTATCCTCTCATTTATTTCAAGAATGTTCATCTTTGCCTCATGGTTATAATGGGTGTTATAAAGTCTGTGTCTGGTAATTCCAATTGGGGTCATCTGTTGATTACCTTTTCTCCTGAGTACTGGTCAGATTTTTCTGGTTCTTTGTGCATTCAGTAATTCTGAATTGTACCCAGAACATTTTGAATATTATGTTAGGAGATTTTGGGTTCTGTTAAAATCTCTAGAGAATGCTGATTTTTTTGTTTGCTTGTGTTAGCAAATAATCAGTTGGCTTAGGTCCAAACTACAAGTTGTATCTCACCTTTTGTGGGTGGTGATTCCAATGTCAGTTCAGTTTTCAAATCTTTGCTGTGGTATTTGGGTCGATCTCTCACATGCACAGCTCTGAATTTAGTCTGGGTCTCTGGTAGTTTAGTTCTTGAAGCCTTTGCTACACTTCTTTGGGTCTGCCATGCACGTGTACAGTTGGGATATTTTAGATATTTGTTTTTTGTATTTTGTCCAGAAGTTTTGGTTGT